GCTGCAGCAGCTTCTGCTGCAGCTGCAGCCCATACATGTGCTGCTGCAGCTGTTGCTGCTGCTGCGGCAGCTGTTGCTGCTGCTGCTGCAGCCCTTGCATGTGCTGCTGCAGCTGCTGCTGCTGCTGCAGCAGCTGTTGCTGCTGCTGCTGCTGCAGCTGTTGCTGCTGCTGCTGCTGCTGGCGTGTGCGCAGATGGTGCAGCTGCCGGGGACTTCTTCTGCGTCTTTGGAAATTTGGTTAAGTCGATTTGATGGCACTGCAGCAAAATGGAAAAGGCAGCAGCAAACAATTCCTTTGCCCCCAGGGGCTGGCCAGTTTGTTTTGGCAGACTTCGATGCAGACGGTAGGGTTTGGGGTTTAGGGTTTAGGGTTTGGGGTTTGGGGTTGGGGTTTGGGGGACTTAGGGAAGTTGCAGTTTTGAAATAAGCGTCTCCAGGCGGTGCTTTATCAAAGCAGGGATCCCGAGTCTAGGGTTTAGGGTTTAGGGTTTGGGGTTTAACTTTTAGGGTTTAGGGTTTAGGGTTTAGGGTTTAGGGTTTAGGGTTCAGGGCTTAAGGTTTAGGGTTGTGTTCAGGGACGCTGGATATCTTGGTGCCGTCTTGTGAGAAGAACGAAGAGGGCGTCTGCATAAAGAATGACTCTCTTGTTTTATTGCGTAAGTTCTAGGGTTTAGGGTTTAGGGTTTAGGGTTTAGGGTTTAGGGTTTAGGGTTTAGGGTTTGGCCACCGCATGCAGTCTGATGCCCGCATGCACCTGCGCTCACCTTTGCCGCAGACGGAACCCTCCCCTTCATAGCTTGACGGCCTAGGGTTTAGGGTTTAGGGTTTAGGGTTTAGGGTTTAGGGTTTAGGGTTTGGGGCACAGCGAACAGCCAGCCGCCGCTGTGCGGGTCTTTCTGGTGGACTTCGCGAAGTGTCGAAAAGTGCCGAAGACCTTTTGAACTCTGCGACCCCAACAAAGACTTCCGACTCGCCAGCTGTACGTACACCCCACTCGACAAGAAGAAGATTAAAATGAAACAAGAAAAATAAAATACGAGACAATAAAGGGAGTTGAAATAGAGAAAAAAGAGATTAAAAATGCAAAAAAAAGAAACAAAAATGAGAGAAAAACGCCCCAGCTGTAGACACTTCAGCTGGACAGACACTTCAGCTGTACAGACACCGCAGCTGTACAGACACCGCAGCTGTATAGACACTTCAGGTGTATAGACACCTGGAGTCTATAGACACTTCAGGTGTACAGACACTTCAGGTGTACAGACACCGCAGCTGTGCAGACACCGCAGTGTACACACACCTGGAGTCTGTAGACACTTCAGGTGTACAGACACCGCAGCTGTACAGACACCTGAAGTGTACAGACACCTCAGGTGTATAGACACCTAGGGTGTATAGACACTTCAGGTGTACAGACACCTGGAGTGCACAGACAGCTGAAGTGTACACACAGCTGAAGTGTATAGACAGCTGAAGTGTACAGACACTTCAGATGCACAGACACCTGGAGTGTACAAACATTTCAGGTGTACAGACACCTCAGGTGTGCAGACACCTGGAGGGTATAGACAGCTGGAGTGTACAGACAGCTGAAGTGAATATACACTTCAGGTGTACAGACAGCTGGAGTATACAGACACCTGGAGTGTACAGACAGCTGAAGTGTACAGACAGCTGAAATGTAGAGATACTTCAGGTGTACAGACACCACAGGTGTACAGACACTTCAGACGTACACAGAGTTGAAGCGTACAGGCGTTTTTCTCTCATTTTTGTTTCTTTTTTTTGTATTTTTAATCTCTTTTTTCTTTCAACTCCCTTTATTGTCTCGTATTTTATTTTTCTTGGTGTTTCATTTTAATCCCATTTTTGTCCATTCTAATCTCCCTTTTTTTTTCTGTTTTTCTTTTTTAGATGGCGAGCAAAATGCAACAGTCTCCTTTTTGGATTTGGACTCTTCAATTCATTTTTACGGAGACAGTTTAAAACCCCCGACTCTCACAGTAAACTTTTCATTTCATAATTTGAAGTTTTCAAAACCCCTTCTTTATTTTTCTTTTTTCTTTTTCATTCGTTTTTGCTTTTAATTCCATGTTATTTTTCCCTTTTAATTGTACTTTGTCGCTTTCTTTTTTACTTCTTTTTTCTTTCTCTTTTAACTTCTACTCTTTTTAATTCTCTAATTCTTTTATTCCTTAATTCTTATTTTTTGTTTGTTTTCTTTTTCAGGTTGGAGATGTTGACGGAGACGGATTTCCAGATGTGGCTCTTGTGGCAGTTAAAGAAGGGGGAATTAGAGCTGCTCGAATTTACCGAAATGTGGCTGAAGGCCCGAAAACAGGCCCAGGAGTGAGGGTTTAGGGTTTAGGGTTTAGGGTTTAGGGTTTAGGGTTTGGGGTTTGGAGGTGGGGCTGGGGTGGCAGTTAAAGAAGGGGGAATTAGAGCTGCTCGAATTTACCGAAATGTGGCTGAAGGCCCGAAAACAGGCCCAGGAGTGAGGGTTTAGGGTTTAGGGTTTAGGGTTTAGGGTTTAGGGTTTGGGGTTTGGAGGTGGGGCTGAGGTGGCAGTTAAAGAAGGGGGAATTAGAGCTGCTCGAATTTACCGAAATGTGGCTGAAGGCCCGAAAACAGGCCCAGGAGTGAGGGTTTAGGGTTTAGGGTTTAGGGTTTAGGGTTTAGGGTTTGTGCAGAACCCTGGAAGACGGCGGTTTGAACTCGCGGCGGAGTTTGTGGGGACAATTGAAGGAAAAACTCTTTTGTGTAATCGCGTGGCTTTTTTCGACTTTAGAGAGAAGGTGAGGTGTACGTACACCCCAAACGCATGCGCGCATGCATGCATGCATGCATGCGCTCATGAGGGTTTGGGGTTTGGGGTTTAGGGTTTAGGGTTTGGGGTTAGTTTAGGTGCGAAGGCGTTGGGCGTTCTGCTGCTGCGTGTTCAGGGCGCGTTGGACTTGGTGTGCCAGGGGCAGCCGCAGCAGCCGCAGCAGCCGCAGCAGCAACAGCAGCAGCAGCAGCAGCAGCAGCAGCAGCAGGGGGGTAGCCCTTTTGACACGCTGCGGACGTTTCTGCGGCCCTCAGACTCTTCTGATGATTCTCTTTTCTTCAAAGTGACTTCTTTGAATGGAGTTTGTCCTTATTCGTTTTGTTCAAGACCTTCTTTGTCTCCCCTTTCGACCCCCCAGAATCTTTTGCTGCCAAGCAGCAGCAGCAGCAGCAGCAGCAGCAGCGGCAGCGGCGGGGGTGGCGGCGGCGGCGGCGGAGACGGTGAGGGGGAAGCAGCGCGCAAGCAGCAGCAGCTGGAGCAGCAGCAGCAGCAGCTGCTGCTGCAGCAGCAGCAGCTGCTGCAGCAGCAGCAGCAGCAGCTGACTCTCTCCTCCCCCATTCAAATGATGCCCGACCTGCCGCCGCCATACGGCGCAGCAGCCATTGGTGAGCTCCGCAGCAGCAGCAGCAGCAGCAGCATTAGATGCTTCCACAGCGAGTTAGCGGTTTTAGGGTTTAGGGTTTAGGGTTTAGGGTTTAGAGTTCTTGTGCTTCTCCTAAGGGGCGGCCTTCAAGCTAACTGTGACGGACCTGAACGGGACGAAATCGCCTCGCACGGGTAGGGCGGAAACTAGGGTTTAGGGTTTAGGGTTTACGGTTTAGGGTTTAGGGTTTAGGGTTTTGACTACGGTTTGATGCCTGGGCTATGCTTTGCAGTGGGTTTAGGGTTTAGGATTTGGGGCGTGAGTTGTTTTTGCAGTGGCCAGAGGTTCTTCAGTTAGGGTTTAGGGTTTAGGGTTTAGGGTTTAGGGTTTGTGGGCGCAGGAGCCCAAATGCCTCAAAGCGCACATGCGCCTCTTTCGCTTCCTTTTGAATTATTTGGTTTGGGACAAACAAATAATTATGTGGAAGAGTTTTTTGTCGGACTGCCGCTGGCCCAGCTGGTGAGGGTTTAGGGTTTAGGGTTTAGGGTTTAGGGTTTAGGGTTTGAGGGGTGAGTCCCGAGTTTTCGCTCTCTCGGGCTGCAGGGCTCTTGAGCGCGCGGTTTCCTCGCGAATCGCTTGCTCCCAGGGCTAACGGCCGAGCGACAAAACTAGGGTTTAGGGTTTAGGGTTTAGGGTTTAGGGTTTGCGTGCAGACTGCGTTTAGCATGTGGGTTTCTCTAATTCCCAACTCCCAAGTAATTGTGATGCCTTACCCTTTGGAGCAGCCGGGGGGTTGGCAGCTCGAGCTGTCTGTACACCCTTCCCGGAGCTTCGTCAACATCCTCATTGTGGGCTATCGAGGGTTTAGGGTTTAGGGTTTAGGGTTTAGGGTTTGGGGTTTAGGGCTTGGGGTTTGGGGTTCGGGGTTTAAGGGTGTGTTCGTGGCTCACGGAGGTGTTTGGGACGTTTTTCACTGCGAGATTCAGATTTTGGGGTTTCTAGAGTTTAGGGTTTAGGGTTTAGGGTTTAGGGTTTGGGGATTAGGGTTTGTGTGCGCAGACGACGGTGATTTGCCTGCTGCTTGTGGCACTCATTATCTTTATTCTGGACAGACGGGAAAAGGTGAGACTCCCTGGATTTAGGGTTTAGGGTTTAGGGTTTAGGGTTTAGGGTTTAGGAAGGTGGGACTCAAAATGATCATTTTCCGTTTTTTCACAACGAAATATAACACCATTTTAGTTCTTTTTTTATTTTTTGAGATTTTCAAATTCAAAAAATACCATTTTAATTATTTTTTATTTTTTGTGATTTGCGCAATTAAGTACCACTTTAATTTTTTTTAATTTTCAAGTTTAAAAAATACCATTTTGATCCGTTTTGTTTTTTCAAATTAAAAAATGGCATTTTAATTCTTTTTCGTTTATTTTATTTTGCTGCTGCAGGCAGAAGACTCCGAAGAGCAGCGGGGATTTCGCAGCCACTTTATTGTGAGTTAAATGAAATTCTTTTTTGAAAAGAATTTCATTTAATTCTTTTTATTAGAAAGAATTTCATCTAATTCTCTTTATTAAAAAGAATTCCATTTAATGCTTTTTATTAAAAAGAGCCAAATGAAGTTCTTTTATTGAAAAGAATTTCATTTAATCCTTTTTGTTAAAAAGAATTCCAGTTAATTCTTTTTATTAAAAGAGAATTACATTTAAATCAGTTTATTATAAAGGAGTCCCATTTGATTCCTTTTACTAAAAAGAATTTCAATTAATTCGTTCTGATTGAGAAGAATTAAATGGAATTCTTTTTGATTGAAGGAAATGGAATTCTTTTTGGTGAAAACATTTCATTAAATTAAATTCTTTTTGATGAAAAGAATTCATCAAACGGAATTCTTCTTATCAAAAAACAATTCAATTTAATGCATTTCTTTTTGATAAAATATTCTTCAAATGAAATTCTTTTTGTCAAAAGGAATTCCATTAAGTGGACTTTTTAAATCAAAAGGAATTAAATTAAATTAAATTCTTTTATCGAAAAGAATTAGAGTAAATCCTTTTATCAGAATAAATCAAATTGAATTCTTTTATCAGAAAGAATTAAACTAAATTAAATTCTTTCATCAAAAAAATTAAATTAAATTCTTAAAAATAATTTCATTTAATTTTTTGGCTTCTGCAATTCGCAGTTTGCCTCAACTCAACCAGCAAAAAGCTTTAAATCATTTTACTGAAAAATTCTAAATAGAAAAAAATTGTTTTATTATTTTAATTTAATTAATTTAATTTAATTTAATTGCAGTTCATTAAATTCAAAAAAAGAAATAGATCAATTTCATGAGATTCATTTTTTTTCGATTTATTAAATTTGAAAAGGAAAAAATGAATTTCTTTAAAAATGAAAAAAATCAGAAAACACTGATTTGTGCAAGTGAGCTGATTAATGGATTAATTCGAAAATATAAATAAATGAAAATAAATCAAGAAATAAATAAAATAAGTAAGTAAATAAATAAATGAATGAATAAATAAATAAATAAATAAATAAATAATAAACAAATAATAAACAAACCAAATAATTCTTCAACTGAAGATAAAACAGTTGCGGCAAAAAACGCAAAAGCTGCACTCAAACTCGCCCGCCTTGAGCTCCCGCCAAACCCTAAACCCTAAACCCTAAACCCTAATTTTCTGCAGAAACTGCGCAGCTCGCTGTCTCTCTTGAACGCTTCTCGGGTGTACATACACCCGGAGCCCCCTGTTCTTTCCCAAGGTCAAAATGAATATTTGAAATAAAAAAGATCTTAAAAAGAATTAAAACAAAAGAGGAATTAAAAGAACAATTTTATCCACGTCAAAGTATATAAATTAAAAAGAAATGGAAAACATCCAAAAGCAATAAAAGATGCAACAGCAAACAGACCCCCCTCCACCCCATGGGGGGCCCCCTACTCTAAGAGGGCCCCCTAATTGGGGGGCCCCCTTTGGGGGCCCCCCAAATAGGGTTCCCCAGCTAGGGGGCCCCCCTTTGGGGGCCCCCCAATTAGGGGTCCCCAGCTAGGGGGTCCCCCTTTGAGGGCCCCCCATGTAGGGGCCTCCCGGGGTGCTTCCCCTTTATGGGGCCTCAAGCGGAAGTCCTACGCAGCAGCATTATTTGGGGGCCCCCGGAGGGCCCCACAGTGCAGTCGGGGGGCCCCTAAGGGGACCCCTCTAGGGGGCCCCCCTTAGGGGGCCCCCCAACTGCCCTAGGGGGCCCCCCTAGGGGCCATCTAGAAAGATAAATGAGAAGGTCCCTTACAGAGGACCCTGTAGGGGGCCCCCTAGGGGGGCCCCCTTAACAGCTTGCCCCTAGGGGACTTGGGGGGCCCCCCTGCGGCCCCTAAGAGATGAGGGTGTTGTCGCTGCAGTGTACGTACACCTGGTGAGAGGGCGTGGGGTGCTGCTGCTGCATGCATTTATTTTGCCTTTGATTTATTTTTATTTATTTTGATTCATTTTGGCCTTTTGAACTCCCTGAAGTCCAGCAGCTCAAACGCATGCAAACCAAGTTAATGCAAAGGCCCCAGAGCCTTTGACGACGCATGCGCTGGCCCTCTTTTGGGGCCTTTCATGCATGCGTGCATGCATGCACGGAGCCAGTTCTTGCAAATTTGCATGCATGCATGCATGCATGCATGCACTTACGCAGTGCAGCATTATTTAATTCGAGATTCATGATGCACTTATATTTTATTTTTATTGTTTTTATTTCCATTTCTGTCGGGACCAGAGAGCGCATGCGCGGGTCCTTGGTACAAGTGGAAACATGCAATAAATAAATAGAAATAAAAATTAAAGTAAATAAATAAAAATAAAAAGTATTCAAATGAAAATATAAGCAGAGGTACTTTTGCGATTTTGCTTTGCTGGTGTGCATGCATTTGGATTAATATTTATCTCTTTTCCGCATTAGTGCAACAAAATGTAAAGAAGATGCATTTAGATCCTGCATGCATGCATGCATGCATGCGCCCGCGTGGTGTACGTACACCCCTTGCGCCCGTGGGGTGTACAGACACCTCTAGTGTCGAAGCGCGGGAAGTTGCGGAAAGGAATTAAAGATTCAAATTCTTCGGACCTTTTCTGAAAGTAAATTTTAAATTTCTTTTAATTCTTTAATTGCCATTAAATGCAGATCTCCGCGGTGTATGTACACTGCGAATCTCCAGCCATTAATGCGGGCACTTTTAAGAGCCTTGAAGTGGAATGTGCAGAAGTCCAAATAAATAAATGAACAAATATATAAACAAATAAATAAATAAATAATATTGCAGTCTTTATAAAAGTCTTGGAATCCGCAGCAGTCTAAATAGATAAATAAATATATCTTGAAGTATTTCTGTAAAAATGCTTTTACATATTCTTCAATGAGATATATTTTTGTATTTCCGATATAAATATTAGTATAGAAAAATATATGAAGGCATATATCTTTACGTATTTGTACAGACATACATATATATATATATGTATATATATATATATATATATATACATATATATATATATATATACATAATATTGAGATGAACATATGTATATATATATATATACATATATTGATACAAATATATATACCCATAAGCATATAGATACACATTTGTTGTATTCATATAAGATTATATGTATATATATATACATAAACGAATACATATATATATATATATATAAATACATATAAATATATACATATATGCATGCATACATATATATATATATATATATGCAAATGGGCCAGAATATATTGGAAGTAGAAAATGAAATAGATGGCAATGAAGTGTACAGACAGAAAGCTCAGAACACGGCTGCACGGGAGGTGTACATACACTCCGGAGCTGCGTGGACTGCATGCGTTTTAGCTTTTCTATTTTCAGAAATAAATTGAACTTCAACATTCAACGAAGTGCAGTTAATGGAATTATAATTATAATTATAATTGTAATTATAATTATAATTTTTGTAATTATAAATTGCGCCAAAGACGGCAGCAGAAACTTTGATTTCCAAATTGAGGGCGGGGTGTACGTACACCTCAACTTGACGTTCCTCCTATTTTTGTTACTTTGTTGTTTTCACAACTGAATATAAATAAATATAAATGAATAAATATAAATAAATGCAAAAAAAACACAATAAAAGAGGCCTATTCTTCTATTTAGACGCATGCGCGCACTGCACAGCAGCAGCAGCAGCAGCAGCAGCAGCGCAGCAGCAGCGCCGCCTTTGCACGTCTGCCGACAGATTCGCGTCTGCTGCTACTGCTGCTGTTCCTGCTGCTCCTGTGGCTGCTGCTGCTCCTGCGGCTGCGGCTGGTCCTGCTGTTCCTGCTGCTGCATTTGCTGCAATTCTTGCTGCTGCAGTTGCTGCAGTTCCCGCTGCTGCTGCTCGTCTTCTTCCTGCTGCTGCTGCTCGTCTTCTTCCTGCTGCTGCGAGTCATACTGGTCCTGGTCCTGGTCTCCGTGCTGCATCTCCTCCTGCAGCAGCCGCTGCTGCTCCTGCTGCAGCATTTGCTGCTGCTCCTGCTGCAGAAGCTGCTGCTCCTCTCTGTGTTGGTCAGCGGCTGCCTCGAGCTGCAGCACGAGCTGCCTGAGGGCGTTTGCTGCTGCTGCTGCTTCGGGGAAGGTAGTTGCTGCTGCTGCTGCACTTTGTGCTGCTTCCATTTCGGCCTGCAGCAGCGGGGGGGCTGGAGAGAAGGAAAGTCCTTCTCTGCGGATTCGGGTGAAGGTTTTGCTGCTGCTGCGGATGTCTTGCTGCAGCAGCTGCAGCCACGTGCTGCCCAGCAGCTGCCGCTCGGCTTCTGCTGCTGCTGCTGCTGCTGCTGCCAGCTGCTCTTCTATTGCTGCTGCTGTTCGCTGCAGCTCTTCCAAATCTCTTTTTCTCCCCAGCTGCGCCATCAGCATAAGGGCCAAGTCCCGGCGATTCTGCAGCTCTTCCAGAGCAGCAAAGGCCGGCGAAGCGCTGCTGTCCTGCTGCTGCTGCTGCTGCTGCTGGCTGCTGCTGTGCTGCTGCTGCTGGCTGCTGCTGTGCTGCTGCTGCTGCTGCTGCTGCTGCTCTCCTTCCTGCTGTTCCTGTTGCTCCTGCTGCTCCTCGTCCTCCTCCCTCAGCTGGGGGAGCTGCGGCGGCTGGCCCAGGTGGAGGTGGCGCCGGCGCAGCGCGCTGCTGCTGCTGCTGCTGCTGCTGCTGCTGCCGCTGCTGCTGTGGGCGGCGAGGGCGCGCTGCAGCCGCGCAATGAGTTCCTCAAAAGCATCATTTGCTTCCTCAGCAAATGAAACAAAAGTCAAATGAACTTCTCGAAACTCCCTGCGCAGCAC